TGTGTGTGTGTGTGTGTGTGTGCGTGTGTGTGCGTGCGTGTGCGTGTGTGTGCGTGTGTGTCTCAGCTCAGGAGGAGGAGTCTGGTGACGTCCTGCTGCATCCTGGGAATCACACACCCGGCTGTTGGTGCACGGTGCGCCACACACTGCTGCTCGGACCGGAGGCTGAGAGCAGACCATGACTGTGGAGCCGCCGGATCACTACGAGCCCCAGATAAAATAGATCCGATCATAATCTTTAGAATAACACAACATGGCTGTCATTTCCAGGCGGGTAAAGAGGAGGAGGAGGAGGAGGTGAAGGCGTAGGAGGAGGAGGAGGCTCAGGATAAGACGCGCTTTTCTCTGAAGGTAGAGAAGGAGGAGGAGGCTCTCTCTCTTCTTCTAGGAGGATAAAAAGAGGAAAAGGGGGAAATCAAGTTATTTTTACGCGGAGCAACATGAGCGTCGGGCCGGATGACAGCTCGGTGCGCGTCGCCCTGAGGTAAGGATGCTCCCTCCGCGTGTCACACCTGCTCCAGGCGCGCACATGTTGTTCCTGCTGCAGCACATGCACTCTCTCTGCTCTTTGTACCCCCCCTTCTTGCATTGTGCTTTTATTTTGAAGCTGCAGTGACAATCCTCTATGATCAGGAGACTTGATTCTTTTGTTCGTACACATGTGCACGTGCAGGTGAATTTATGAATGAAGACCCAGCTGCGGAGGGATTACAGACCAATGTCGAACACGTTACTCTTCCACATACATTGTGTCTCCTGCAGTGGTGGAGCTAGGATCAGTTCGGGGCTATGTAGTGGGGGGGGGGGCATCCATACACAATCCCTGATTCAGTAAGGTGCACATTTCCACAGGGGGGGCTGAGCGTTTTGTCCTCCAACCAGAAGGTTTGGTGGTTCGACTCCATGGGCAAGATACTGAACCCCACAGTTCACTGTGTATACTTCAAAAATGCTTACGATTCCTAACACATCATCACAGTTATAGTTAGTATTGTTAGTAAGTGACTAGTTTATCAAGAATAAAACCCAACTATGTAAAGAAATGACAGGACGAGCCAATCAGCCTTACCCATCTTTCTTTCTCGATATGTGCTTTTATTCTGAAGCTGCAGGTTGAAGCTGATTTTATGATTTAAACTTCAGACATGCATTTATGAATGAAGATCCAGCAGCTGAGGGATTAATGCCGATGAAAAGCACGTTACTCTTCCCCATATTGTTTCGTCTGCACAGCACACAGTGGCTAATACGTGTTTCCGTCAGTGTGCCTGTATTTGCTGTATCATGCTGATCTGACCTTTGTCCCCAGGGCCAATCCATGCTGCCACTTACACAGCAGACTAACAGAGACAGTCAGCGTCTGGTCCCCGGCCGAATCAGTGCTTCTCAGCTTCATGTGTCACTTCTATAATGCACATATACACATTTGGGTGAAATGTCGAACTCTAGGGTGCAGGTCACATTGACAAACAACATGAGACACTGGTAATAGAGTTTGACCAGAGTTTACCTTTCACACATGCACAACACAGCGGGAGGTGGGAGGTGGAGTGGAAGTGACGTATTAACTGTGCGGATCACATGATTTTCTTGAAAACACGACACCGGTGTTGTCTCTTATCACCACAAACTCTCTTGACATCTTCATCTGTGTCTTCTACGTTTTTGTCAGTGCTCTTTCACTGGGAGATAATTTTTTTTCTTTTTTTAGTCTGTTGCGTATTCAAAGCGTCATCAACCCCCCCCACTCACTTGCGGTGAATCCAGCAGGAGATCCCTTGCTGTGTTTTCACATTGAATTCTCCTGGTTTTCTGCAGACTTTATTTTAAGGAGCCAGGCAGAGAAAGTCTGCAGATAACTCAGAGCCTTTCAGGATGTGTGGAGTTCAGTGATTGTCTGAAAGCAGCTATAAAAACCTTAAAAACATACAAATAGAGCAGTGTGAAAACTTAGCCGGCAGTCAGGGGACATTTAAAGTGCATAAATGTTTGAATGAACAACGCAGACACAAGCCCTGCAATAAAACATAGCACAACAAATCAATGAAAACATCAATACACTGACATGATAGGGCCACAGCTGGAGATGTGGGGCAGTTTGTGTGTGTGTGTGTGTGTGTGTGTGTGTGTGTGTGTGTGTGTGTGTGTGTGTGTATTTTGTGCAACGTCATGTGAACTGGATCAGTGGAAGAGAAGGGGACAAAAGCTTGTTCCTCTCATGTTTCTCCTCTCTCTCTCTCTCGCTCTCTCGCTCTCTCTTGTTATTGTGCGTTCAGACTTTGACCCAGAACTGTGTTTATTGAGGCAACTCACTTTACAGACCCCATCTCTCTGCTGTATTGATGGTAAATAATCTTGCAGTGTTTCCCATCATGCTCTCTGGTCGTGCAGCGCTGTAACATTTTCGTTGATGAGATGTTTTTCTGGTTTCTTCACTCTTAGTTAAGAGTTTAAGACATTTTTAGCTTTGTAAGCGACAAAATAACACACAACTACACAAATATACAAGCTACAAATCTCAAGCTACATATCAGCTCATATACAGATGTTGGTGTTTTTGAGAGGAAACTACCTGCTGTTGTGTCTTGTTGAAAAGCTCAGGCGACATAATTATGTGATCCCTGTCATCTTGTTTGTTTTCACCTTTATTCCCATTGTTAAAAATATGTATTGGCCAATATATATGATATTTTTGGTGCTTTATATTGATGTCGGATCTCCTGATCATGAATTCTGCCTCCAGGTCACTGAGGTCATCCTCTCAACAACTCCTCTCATTTGCCCTCAACTTTAAAATAAGGGGATCAGGTGTTTTTCTGTTGCTGCCCCCAAGCTCTGAAACAGTCTCCTGCTCCACGTTAGGTCGACTAATCCCACATTCGATCATTTAAAGTTTAATTTAAAGTCAGACCATTTTAATCTGCTTTAAATTCAGCCTGATTCTGTTAATGTGTCTTTGCCTGCATTTTCTCTTTCATTGTTTTTGTTAATAGTTGCATATGTCAAGCAGACCACAGCTTCATGTTGGTGTTTTCAGCTCGATTAGTGGCAACATCCTAATTATTTGGGGGGTTTATATTTGTGCTATAAACGTGAACTTCTTAAAGGTTTTGACTGACAGCTTCTTCCCGCTCTGTCGTACTTTAGTCGTACTGTGTGTGTGTGTGTGTGTGTGTGTGTGTGTGTGTGTGTGTGTGTGNTGTGTGTGTGTGTGTGTGTGTGTGTGTGTGTGTGTGTTGCTGGTACCTGCCTCAGCCTGTGAGTCTACCGCTGCCTGTTAGCAGGTTCCTAATCCCCCAGCCCAACATTTCAAGAGTGATGAAACATTACTTTATCATCCTCGCTCTGTGGTTTTTTTTAGAAAACGCCTGGAGCTTGAACAGAGACAACATTTCATTTTTGTTTTACATTTAGATTTATTACTGGAAAGATGATGTAACAGGAAGTGTATTTGCTCTTTGGAAACACACTTTCCTCTTAATGGTGCTTCAGTGAGGTTATTTAAACATGAGATCTGTCATCTGTGGTTTTAATATATTAATATATTGCTGTATCACACCTGACAGCACACATAAATATTATTACTGTTTGTTCTCTGGTGTATCTGTGTGTGTCTCTGTGTGTATGCACAGTGACGCACTTGTTTTTCTTTTCCCATTTGCAATGACAAAGCAACACAAGAAGTTAACGATTTATCCAAGCTGTGGTACAGACTTTGCCTGGAGGAGCCACAGTAAAGTGACTGATTGGTTTGTCAATATCCTTGAAGTGCATCTTGAATAATTCAGAGTCCGAATTATTCAACAGCGAAGGATTCAGGTTTCCTACAGCTAAATTTAGAAGAGCTTGTTCTTCCTCCTTAATTAGAAAGGCTGGAGCGAGGAAAAGCAGGAAACTGGAAATTTATTTTTTAATCCTCTTTCAATTCTTCCACATGGCAAGTAAAAGTTTCATTGGGTAATAAGGAGGATAAAATTGAATAATGTTCACGGCAGTATTGTTAAATATGATTTGTATTTTAAACCTTGCTCAACCAAGGCCTGGCACAGAAACAATGCAATTGATTATTCAAATAATTGAATCAGCAACTGTTTACTGGTACAGTGTGTAGAATTTTGTGATATCTGTGTTGAAATTGCATGTTGCAGCTGAGCACCCCTCACCTCACCCTCTCGTTCCAAACATGAAAAAGAAACTGTGGTAGCTTCAGTTGTCATAAAAACTCAAAAGGTGTTTAGTTTGTCCAGTCTGGATTAATGTAAAAACATGGCGACCTCCGGAGAGAGGGTCCCCTCAATGTAAATATAAAGTATTTGAATATGAAGGGACTTTTCTGGGGTAAAGAAAACTACTGAAAACATCATGAGATTTATCCAAATAGTCTCCTATTGGTTCCTCTGAGTGTCTGTCAAACACAAGGGCCTCCCCTCTGACCTCTGTAGATTATGTTTGGCGGCAAAGGCTGTGCGCCTGCTGCCATGATACAAAAGCATTGCGTGCGTGTGTGCGTGCACATGCACAAACCTGTGTTTTTCCGGGCATATTCATGATAAATATTCATGAAGCAACTCAAGTGAACTGAGACGCAAAGCTGCAAACCATCTGCCAGCTGCTGCCATGTGGTAGTTGAGACATTCAATAACTTCAGTCTAAGCAGCAAAGGTTGATTCTATAGTACATGGATTTTAAACCTATATTCTGTTTTAATTTAGTGTAGCTGTATTTTAAACCCAAATGGCAGTTCTTTGTGTGTGTGTGTGTGCGTGTGTGTGCGTGTGTGTGCGTGCGTGTGCGTGCGTGCGTGCGTGTGCGTGCGTGCGCGCGCGCGTGTGTGTGTGTGTGTGTGTGCGTGTCAAGGTGACAGCAGCCGCCCTCCTCTGCCACCTCTCCCTCTTTCCTCCCCAGCGACCTTTGACCCAGGAAGCAGTCAGAGCTGATCACAGAGCCGTTCCCCATTTCAGCTTGTTTTCGCCATCACCATGGCGACGGGGCGTCCTTTCACAGATCAGTGTTCGCAGCAGTGATCCTCTGAATGAATGTCATTCTCACCACATGAAGTTCCAAGCTGTGGGTGGGACTAAAACGCTGAGTCAGCTCTTTGTCTCTCTGGACCCTTTGTCTCCACACCCAAAGGCCCTTTGGTGACATCACCATCTTGCTGTTTTCACATCAAACCCATTTCTTCATACGTCTTCATCACATCCCATGGACCAGTCAGATATCAAGGATGCATCCTTAATTGAGAATAAGAGGAAATCCATCCTTAATGTGGCATATAGCAGTTCTACTTATCTAAGTCTGGGTCTGGTGCACTCACTTGTGCTTGAGGGCTCTCAGAGGCAGGCTGGAGCGACTGCTACAGTGAATTGACTCTTGATGTCAAGCGCAGCTGCTCGACAATGTAAAGACTGTTACTATAAACACACTGTTGTTGTTCTGCTGGTCCTTTAAACTGCAGCAGCTCTTTGTGCCACTTTCACTGTC